CTTCGAGGCATGACACATTTTCTTTCAAAGTGTCACATCCTCGTTTCGTGAGCGCGCACACACACACACACACACACACACACACACACACACGCACACACACGTGGCACACACACACACACTCACACATATACACACACACACACACACACATAGCATTTATAAAAGAAAAACATTTATAAAAGTGCGGATTTGTTGGAACATTTATAAACGAATAAGTGCGGATTTGTTGGAGCATTTATCAAAGAAAAATATTTTTCTCCTGTCATTGAAAGGAACACTAATAAAATATATTTAACAACATACGCACACACACACAATATACTTTGAGCAATAGCAAACTTGAACAAGCATTCCACATATAAAAGTGCGGATTTGTTGGAACAGTTATAAAAGAAAAACATTTATAAAAGAATAACTGCAGAAAATATTTTTCTGCTGTCAATGAAAGGAACACTAATAAAAGATATTTAACAACACACGCACACACACACACTGTATACTTTAAGCAATAACAAACTTGAACAAGCATTCCACATCATCAACATGAAAGCCAAAAATTCATGACCTCCAACCAAAAGCAGAATCGAAGGGACTCATTGCAGGCTGTAGCCTCGCACAGAGAGAGAGAGAGAGAGAGAGAGAGAGAGAGCATGTACACCGTTGTCAAGCACTCGAACACCTAAAATATTGCACATACTCCGTAAATGCGTTGTGCAGAATTAATCATGATATGCATAGCCTGTGCATCGAACAATTGCATTCAACGCTGTCCACTACCAATATCTGTATCACCGCTGTCCACCATGGTCTCTGGTGCGCAGTCAAGCCATGTGTGAGCACGAAGTATTTCCTCTCCTGTTGATAGTGCCGGGTGCAATGTAGCACCAAAACCGCTGGCTACAGCCCCGTGCAGGAGGCAACTAAGGTCCAGGCCCCACGTAAGTGATGTTGCGAGGACAGCCTCTCTGTTGACCAAGACAAACCATGACTTCCCCATACGTGACCATCTTTTTCCGTTCGAGCATGATCTCATAATGGTCCTCAGTGTTGCATACTGGAGTGCGCCCTGAGGTGTTGCCTCCTTCAGCACGACACGCAACAGTAAATGAGGATTAGAGAATACACGTGTCAACCTAAGAATCGCATGTGCCCACCCTTTTGACGCTTGTCCTCTCCCTGCTTCCATATCCCAGTAGGTATCATATTCCTCACCCTCCTTGTCGCTGCTCACATCGCTGCCACTCACTTCCACCTCACAGTTAGGCGCCCTTGCATCTTTTTCATTGTTCCTCACTCTTGTTTCTTCAATGTCGTATTCGAAATCGATCGGTAACGAAGAGTTTTCAAACCCTCGTTCCCGTTGTTGTTCTGTCATTGCCCACTCATTGAACACATTTTCTTCTTCTACCTCCTCCGTGGACATTGTGTTTATTGGAGAACGCACGATGGAGACTGTTCTCACAATTTCTTCCCCTGCTGAAGTGTGTCCATCTGTTGCATGAAGTGCAACATCTGCTTCCTGGACCACCAACTTTCATCCTTCTTCCCTTGACCTCTTTCTGTCCACCTCAGAAGTCGCAATGTTGAGGCGATGCAAAGCTGCCATGAATATTCCATCCCATCATGGAGTACCACATACGACATCCTCGTCCAAACTCCGCACCCTGTAGTTAATGAGGTCCTTGCCCGCCAGTGCTTGCTCTGTCACATCATGCAATACCTCATGTATGACATTCCGATCGTCAAATTTCTTTTTCATGAAATCCACCAGTTGGTCGAGTAAAACATACTCCACCCCGTTTGCAAAAATTACTGGAAGATCTTGGAAGTCTTGCGGGGGAGCTTGCGGTATGTCCTTCAAACACGAGAGTACTAAAATTTCTGCTGCACCGCTCTTCATCTCGTCCTTAGAATCTTCAACAAGCATTCCCCATTTCTTCGCCTGTGTCATCAGCATATGCTTGAAATCGGCTGGCATGTATGTTCCACCCTTCTGCTGCTTTGTCATATCCACGTCCCCTTCATCGGACATCCCTTCTGTGCACATCCAACCAACCACTTTTCTCAAACTGTATGCACTGGTATCAGCACTGTTGTCTACACGCAAATCATGCGCCTCAGTGAACCGTGCCAATAGCATCCGTGCTCTGAGCGACTCCTCTCCGTTCGCAGCGATGCTTGCACGAATGTTCACTCTGACATCGAAGTAACTCGACAATCTCTCCGTAAGTAGTCGAAGCTCCCCGTCGTCATCGTAGTGGATGCCCTCCTCCGTGTATTGCATCATCTTTTGAAGAGCTGCCCTCGCCTGCGTCGCTGACATCGACATGATGGTTGTGCTTTTGTCTATGTGTCTGTAAGTGGAATGGCAAAACGATGATTTCAAGCTCCGTGAGGGTTTGTTTAATGTTGTTTGTGTGTCCCTCTGCTGGAAGTATGCGGTCGTTCGACGCTGCCAGTCAGTACACAGACATCATACGAGGGTTGGCTACTGGGTGCCATTTTTTCTTCGAATCAATGAGATCGAAATGAATCCAGCACGCAGTAATCAACTCCTTGGACCCTGCTCTCACTCTCCGCCCAAACCACTTCCCATTTGTGTCTGACAGTGGTAGGGGGTGTGCGGC